TGACGACAGTTAGTCTGAGTTGGGCATATCTACTCCATCCATAAGGCAAAGTTGCTGCATCTGCAACATCTACATAAATTGAAATATGATCCACTTGGTTCCTCTGGGTGTTCCCCTTGGGGAAGAAAAGAAGTCGCCTGCCGAACAGAATTGTAGATCTCAGTGATAGAAAAAAGCAAGTTGAAACATTAGGAAAGCAACCCAATCCTTACAAGAACATCAAAGTTACCATTTGTTGCCACCAACATGGAAAACGTCAGAGTAGAGCTTCTTGCATTTAATACAGGAGAAATTCTCAATCCTCCATGCGTACTTCCTCACTTGTGGACTCCCCATAGACTGAGACTCACTACTATCCACTCCACTCAAAAACCAAAGAGAGGAAAAATGGAGGAGAAGAATTAAACAGTAAAAGATGCAGCTTTTTATTGAATACCTTCCATTATCAGATGGCCTGGCCTGCTTATAAAAGCTGCTATGCTGGAGAAGATAGAGTAGAGTTGAACTAGTTGTTCATTTATACAACTTAGCCTTTAAGCTATCTGGTTTTTGACTTGGAACCATAGCCTCATATTTCTTCGACAAAAGTAAATATCATTTGACTTTGGTCTCCTTTGTCAATTTAACTACTTTTCCACTACTTGGCCTTTAAGGTATTTGCACCAGGGAATCTGTGGAATCCATTTATACAAGTAGAACACTATAGTTATATTATATTTGATCGATTTATTATAATAGATTATGATATGATATATTGAAATAATATATAATTAAATTATCATGTAATATTTTATTATTTTAGTAAGTGTTACATTAGTTCCATTTGATATAAAAAATAATAAATGATACTTTTAATTAATGTTAATTAATTAATCATGAATTATAAATGATTATTTATTTAAAGTAAAAATATAAAAATTTAATTAAATATAATAAAAATAAAATTTTATATTTTATATTTTTTATTTTTTTTAAAACATTATTCCTTCTCTAAAAACAGTAAACAAATTATGTCTTTGCATGGCAAGCATAATTTTCTTTTCTTTTTTTTTTTGGAAAGGCTGGCATAATATTGGCAGGGTCCAAAGTTAGACCGGGCTTTCCCCGAACTCTGCCTCTTCCTTTAGGCATTTTGGTACAAACAATCTTTGAAATTTTTATATTGAAAGCACTGATAATTCTAAAATAAAAATAAAATAAAATAAAATTTTTATACTTTATTCCATAATGATGATTTTCCTTTTATAGCAAAAAGGCTGGTAGAAGTCGCCTATTTAACAAGCACCTTAGTAAATAGGATCAGATGATTTCCTTCTTCCTGACCAAGAATTAGAATAATACAACATACAAACTCGCTTGTACTCAAAGGGGATGGTGATCAGGAAGCAATATGCAGGGCCTTGTTGCTTGCCATTACGCTTTCTTTTTGCAAACTGCTTCATGGGTTGATTGCTGCTTTCGCATAAGATTGTTTTGCCTTACTTGGGAGAAGCAAGACAGATGAATAAAGAGGAGAAAATGATGGTCCTTATTCCCTAGAAGTAACTACAAATGTAACTTATAATTAAGGTGTAAATTTAATTCAAAATTATGAAGACCAATGTGTTCAGAAGCAATTCACAAGTAAATCGACAGAGGGAGGCAAACTGATGAGAATTGCAGGCATCTCATGCATATCCCATGTGTGAGTCTCCAATAGATGCCAAGGGTAACAATGCACCTGCTTACAAGACTCAACATTCATATTGTAATGGTGTAAACAAAAGTTTTATGTGAAAATGCCCAAGTTCTGGGTTCTATTTCTCATTTCAACTGCCCCCCTTTCCCATTAGTGACCCAAAAAAGATATATAAAACAGAAAAAGAAGAGATGCATGTCATTGCCGCTGCTTAATGCTTTCTCAATACATTTAACAAAAAACTTTCTCAGCTCTTGAATCAACATTTAGCGAGAGCAGGCTAACAAAAGCAACAGCAAAAGATGAGAACAAGACAGGGATCCTAAGACAAAAGAGTCCACAAATGGGAAACTACTCCAGAGGACTTACGTAGACACCTCCACCATTTACAGTTCTAACTAGGAAGAGGAGGAATTAGGAAGAGAACTAACCTTCTTCAGTAGGCCTTTAATCTCACTCTCCAATTTTGCCTTCATCTCTGGGGAAAGATTATCCCCTGACTTCTCTAGCATTGATGTCATCATCTCAAGATTCTGCCTTATAAAGTCAATGGGAGGTGCATCACCAAGGTGAGGTGTCAAACCAGAAGGCTTTGCTGGAGTCCTGAGTACCTCCATGGGTTGACTATTTAGAATACTGTCATTCTGAAGGTGATAATTCATAAGGGTTGCGCCAAAAGGATTACTCTTTTCGAAACTCTTCACTGCTTTTCCAGCATCTTCACTCCTCATAAAAACAACCTGGGCACTATTAGAATCTTTCATTATCAGAATCTCTGATTCCTTCAAGGGCCCAAACCTGCAAAATGTTGCCACTAAAGCTTCTTTTGAAGGCATGGAAGCACCTGGGGTAAATGTCAAGAGAAGAGTGGTCCCGAGGGGTTTTCCATTTGCCTCTGCTCTATCATAATTTATAATTATATTTTTTGAGCTTAAACTAGCCTCTCCTTTCCTCCTCCTTCTCTTCCTCACAGGTTTCACCACAGATAAAACACTGTTTGCCTCCTGAAAATCTTTTCCCAGTATGTTGGGTTCATTGCTAGTTCCATTTAAATCTGGTATTCCTGCAGCGACCGTAGGGTTCGAATGGCCAGATGGTGCCTTCGGCTTCCTCCCTCTCTTCTTCTGACATGGCTTAATTTCAGCTGCAAGTGAATCCATGTCTGGTCTTGCATGAGCATTGTTTCCACTAGAATCAGGCAGGCCAACATTCAACCCCTCCCTGTTACTTTGCTCAGGAATTGTTTTGATGGAATATGGGCCTGTCACCTGCAAATCTAACAACAACGAGCTGGAGCTTGCAGTATTTCCATTTGCTCTAGTCTTTAAAGGCTCTGAAGCAGCTCTTTTCCTCTTTCTCTTTCCAGGCTCAGAGGCAATATGGCTCATAATTTGTGAATCTTCAGCCAATGGGATGGGCATAGCACCATTTCCATTTAAATCTGGTATGTCAGTAGCTTGTTTAGTCTGCTGACCAGCTAAAGTTTGTTTTCCATTAGGTGCTCCAGAGGCCATTGCTTGGAACTCTTTCACTGATAAGTTACATGTAGCAAAGTTTACATTCACATCTGACAGGCCAGAAAGAGACTTAATCTTTGATCTCCCAGAGTTTGTCAGCTTCTTTCCCTTTTGCATTTTATTCCCAGGATTCATACAGGGTGAGGAAGTAGGCTTCATGTCATGTGAATCATTCCCTGACAAAAAAGGATCAGTAGCTGTAGCCTCTTTCTGACCAACCATATTCTTGCAATACATCTCATAAATGGATTCGTCATGATATACTGAAATTCTGAATCTGGAAAAGAACCACTCAATGAGACCAAAGTTTTTACTTCCGGTTGAGAACAGGCAATCCACAGCTATAAAATGTAGTTCAGATAGCAGCTCAGCAGAAGGTGTATTCATCAGCTCTGGATAAGGAGTTACATTATTTCCCCTTATGAATTTCCTATACCAATTTTTCTGGAATCTCTTCACACTACTTTTGACAACTGAAGGAGACCCAATAAATTCATTCACCCCCTCATGAGAAACATTCAAGGTGTTAGGATCTTCAGTTTCACTCAATCCTTTACTTTCCCAGTTAACATAGGGATATGACAAGTACTTGCTCTTCTTCCGTTCTCTCAACTCAAAGGCCTTTTCATTTTTTAAATCGGTCATATCATTGCCATTTTCTACAGAAGAAACATACATTTCTTGATCAGGCCCTTCAATTTGGATGCTGCTAGTTCTCACTTTAGAATAATTTTTCCTCTTTCTCTTCCTCGAAGTAGAAGCCAGTTTGCTTAAGATAACACCTTCTCCAGCAACAATGTCTCCCCAGTTCTTTCCCGAGACCTTGGCCAAGTCTCCATTTTGATCAAGCTGTGACATCTCATTCTTTGTTACATCAGATTGTTCCAGAAACAACTTATATGAGATGCTGTTTTCTTCTGCTAAACCAGCGTCGGCATCCCTTCCATCCATTGGCCAGCTGCTAGCATTCTCCGCATCATAAGTCATTCTCCAAAGTTGATGCATGGGCAATTGGCAATGTCCTGTTGAACAATAAAAGGCTGACAAACAGTTCTGTATGGCAGTAAACTCAAGCATGCCGGGCTTTGAAACAACATGCGCAAGATTTTTGAGTTGACAAAGAAACTTTGCAGGCTCAAATTGAGCAGCAGAAAACTCCCCTAATGCACCAACTTTGCACTCTGGCACAGAAGCTCCTTCCTTAATAGCAGAATTGCTAACTGAGAACTTTTTTCCTTTCAGAACACAGGAACAAGTCATCTCCAATTTCAGGCGCTTTCCAAAATCATCCACAGCCTTCTCAACTGCACCAAGAAAGCTTCTGGCTTTATTCTGCCCAGTCATTTGTTCAAAGTTGACATGGAAAGGCTTTAACTGAGATGGGCAACACCACGCGACATGGCTACTCCCAAAGTACCCAACAAGCAAGCAGTTTCTCTCGTCACCTTTGAGAGCATACTCCTGTGCATCTGAAGGATCAAAGATCTTTCCTGGCCACCAAGTCTGACTTTTGGTTCTAACCCATACAATATCACCCACAAAAAACTTATGTTCCTGCCCATCAATTATCAACTCCTCATTTCCAGCTTCCCTAAACTCTTCATTTTTTACGATTAACCCAGTGCCATTTACTTCATTTAAAGGACCCGAAAAGTCCACATAAAGCGATATGTTGTCTCCGGAAATTTGTATCCTCTTAACTGAATCAACTCCATTAATGACCGACCCATCATCTTCCTTCGTTCCCTCATCCCTAACAGTTTCTACAAACAAATTCTTCTGACTCCCACCATCCACTCTTTCTTCCAACCTCTCAGTCGATTTGGCCACTACAACAACCATTTGATCCTCTTTCTTTCCATCAACTCCATCATCCACTAAACAACCTTCTTCAGTCTCCAAAACACTAACACCATTCTCTTTTCCATCCAGGGCTAAGCTATTCCCTCCAACAGCATTACCATTTTCTTGAAGCTGAACATCCAAAATGGAGCCTAACCCATTACTACTTTCACTAAAAGTGAGCAAGTCGGTAGCTTGAGAAGCTTCTTCTAGGAGTTCTAAATCTGGGTTTTTTGCTTCTAGGGTTTCTGGGGTTTTAGGGTCCTCCATTATCACTATTTTCTAAGCATCTAATAAAGAACACAAATTCAAAATCAGTACATAAAACAATATAAAAAAATTCAAAGCTTTATTCTAACGCCATTTATTCAACTAAAACTAATATCTATTAAAGAAAAAAAAAACAAACGTTAAAAAAGAGAATGTAAGTACCTAAGAGAAGTCTGGCATTCACTCTATGAGCAGAGTTGATGATGAGTCACTAAGCCGAGTTGAAAAGAGGGTTTACCCTTGGCG